TAAAACTGAACTAAAGACATCCCATTAATATGTTTTAGTATGGTGATGGTGCTAGTTTACTTGCTTCCCCATCTCGCTCACTCTCATGTGTAGAGCCCTCATTTCTAAGAGCATGAAACAATTATATTGCCCTTCCCCCTGCTGCTCATGTTGTACTTGTTGTTTTGTTATTTATTTGCTTTTGGAGCATGTTGTTTTAATTAATAATGAGTTTAATACTGTTTTAAGGGGTGGGAGGGTTGGATGGGTATGTGACTGCTTTTAACTTCTGTATCTTCTGTTTTTTAATTGATGTAACCCGCCCCGATTGCTCTGCAGAGGGGCGGGCTATAAATAAAATTTATTATTATTATTATTATTATTATTATTATTATTATTATTATTATTATGAAGAATTCAATGTGTCAACACCCTGAAAATGGGGTACAGTTTGTTCGCAAGCCCTTTGCTATAAAATATCGGAGCTTGCGGAAAAAAAGGGTGGGTTTTTTTTTTTTACTATCGGCCCAGAATCCCTGAGCCAGCATGACCATTGTAGTATCAAAAAGGGATTTTTCCAGCTCTTATGAGTGTTTTGGAATAAGAGACCCAGAAGACAAATCGAGAGAGAGGCTGCTCACTTTGATGGACTGACAAAGCTAACAAGAGTGAAAACAGTCTTGATGAATAATTGATTTAGCTTCACAGCTTTCAGTAAGTGTCTTGAGATCAGAGTTCAGGAGAATAAGCAAAATGCATGGTCCAGACACCATACTACTAGCAGAAAATATCACAGACCTAGAGCAACTGCTGAGGAAGGTCAAGGAAGAAAGTGCAAAGACGGGCATACAGCTGAACATAAAGAAAACAAAAATAATGACCACAGAAGATCTCATAAATTCAACCTAGACAGTGAGGAAATAGAAATATACCTTGGATCAAACATAGATCAGAATGGGGACTGCAGCCAAGAAATCAGAAGAAGACTTAAGGGCCTTTGCAGACTGCCAGAAATAGTGCAAATTGAGTCCACTTTTAGGGTTAGGGTTAGTGCTAGGGAATCATGGGAACTGTATTTTATTGTGGCACCAGAGCTGTCTGACAGAGAAGGCTCAATGTCTCAGAAAAAAAAATCCCATGATTCCCTAGCACTAACCCTAACCCTAAAAGTGGACTCAATTTGCACTATTTCTGGCAGTCTGCAACCCCCCTAAGAATGGGGAGGTCAGCTATGAAAGAACTAGAAAAGATCCTAAAGAGCAAAGATATACAACTAAGAACGAAGGTTAGAATCGTACAAGTCATTGAATTCCTAATCACCATGTACGGACGCGAGGGTTGGACAATTAAGAAAATGGATAAAAATGAAACACATTTATTGGAGATGGGTGCTAGAGAAGAGTGCTGAGGATACTGTGAACAGCCAAAAAAACCAAAACAAAAAAAAAACAAATCCTAGAACTGATCAAGCCTGAAATCTCCCTGGAAGCCAAGATGACTAAAATGAGAATTTTGTGCTTTGGTCACATCATGAGAAGACGCAACTCATTAGAAAAGACCGTAATGCTAGAGAAGATAGAGGGAAGGAGAAAGAGAGGAAGACAACGCATTAAATGGATGGGCTCCATTAAGGAGGTCATGGGTATAAATCTGCAAGAACTAAGAAGAGTCATGGAACAATAGGGACTCTTGGAGATGTCTCATCCACAGGGTCACCTTGAGTCAAGATGGACTCAAGGGTGGTTAACAACAACAAATGGTTCAGAATGCCTCCTCTGCAAAGGACTGAATGCATGCAATCTGATGGGTGCTCAGTGCTGCGAATTCTCACCAGCCTTGGCTAGATTGCTGAGAAGGATGGGCAAGACACTGACAAGGGCTACACCAAATTCCCTGCTTTCCCGTGCTCCTCTGGCTAAGTCTAGATTTGTGTTCTTTCTGGGGAGAGACCTGTTTCTAGCTTATGCTTCTCTGTATTGAGCCAAGGGCCACACTAAAGTAACTTCCGTGGATATGAAAGGATCATGGCTCTGCTGCGCTCTTGGAAAAGTTTGGAGAGCTGGGAAAAAATTAACAAAAAATTATAGCTCTCAGAATCCTTACTGGCCGGGGTGGAAGGTTTCAGGAATTATAGATAATAAATTTTAGATGTAAAGGTCTCAGAGCCCTGAGAAATATGTTGGGTTGTGTGTCTGTACCTTCAAGTTGCCTGTTGACTTATGGTGACCCATGAATTTCCTAGGGCTTTCTCAAGCAAGGAATCCGCAGAGGTGGCTTTGCCAGTTCCTTCCTCTGGCGTATAGCATACAGCACCTCTTATTCACTGGCGGTCTCCCATCCAAGTACTAACTAGGGCTGACCCTGCTTAGCTCCAAGAGGATTTGGTGTTATAGGATGTCAAAAAGAACTCAGTGTGGTTGTGCCTGGTAATCTTTAGAATGTGAAAGGCATTGCCCAGGGCTTCTGCCCAGTGAGCATTTCCTGGCATCATCTGCCCTGCCTCCAGTCCTGCTCTAAGAAACAAGATGGTAGCAGTCTTAGATGCCAATCCGTCCATACCCTCCAACATTTCACATATGAAAACCAGGACAAATGTGGCTATGCAATACCAGGATAGGATCAAGATGGCAAATGTTATTAATGAGGAAAAAGACACAACTTAGGAGAAGCTACAGCAGTTTGTCTTTGCCTGAGCGTACTGGAAAGGACAAGATTCCCCCACTCCTCCTCTCCTTTTCCCTTTGCTGAGTTAATTGCCTCGAAACTACTTTTGCTCTTTGAACTCAGTTTGCAGCAATGCAAGTAAGCTGAGGACAAAGTGGAAGGAAGAGAAAGAAACTGGGACGTTTAAAAGAAGTGGTGAAAGTGGGAGGAAAGAGAGGCTTAATTGGGACTGTCTCTACTAAATCAGGACAGTTGGAGGCTATGTTTGTAATGCTTGTGTCTGGGCCTCCAGGCACTAAACTATAAACCTGCGGTGAGCCACAAAGATGAGGGTTGTGTTTATAAGCCTGAATTCTCAGCGTTAAGACTGTAGGCTCTTCAAATACTTAAAAAGAGACAGGCTTTATTGGTTGCCCAAGGCATTGCTCTTTTGTAGTTCTTTTTTTTTTTTTTGTCCTAGTCTCAAAATAAATTGTACAAGTTAAGTCTCCCTTATCCAAAATCCTTGGGACCAAAAGAAGTCTGGATCTTTTGGATTTTGGATTACTTGTATTTGCATGTATGTACATAATGAGAGATCTTGGTGACGGGACCCAAGTCTAAACACAAAAAATTATTTATGTTTCATAGACACCTTATAGACATAGTCTGAGTTTTGTACACAATATTTTAAAACATTTTGTGCATAAAGCAACGTCTGTGTACACCGAACCATCAGAAAGCAAAAGTGTCACTGTCTCAGCCACCCATGAAAGAAGTGTTGTTATTTGGAATCTTTTGGATTTTGGAATTCCAGAAAAGGGAGGCTCAAGCTGTACTTATTTTAACATTGGTTAATGTTTGAACGCTGCTCCCTTCAATGGCTTTGGTGTTTAAACTTTCTCAGCTTGGGCAAATGGCCACAACCTAGTAGCACTTGGGAGATGACTGCGATAGTGTCCAGGTTGGCATGTTTGGTTAGAAGGGCACAACCCAAGAAAGTCAAGGCGGGGAGGAAGGAGGTGAAGGCGGATATTTACTTACCTCTGCCCAGAGTCAGAACAAGGAAATGCTCAAAAAGAGAAGAGGAAGAAGTATTTTCTGGAAGTCTATAAAGCAATCAAGGTCATAACACTCATTTTCTTTGGTAGTAAGAAGGAAGCAAAACCCTTTTACATGCATGTCTCTAAACTGCAAAAGAAAACATTTGTATTGTGTGAATTGTGGGGTGACTTTTCCGACCCCAAGTGTATTGAAGGTTTAGTTTTAATGTTGGTTGTGTGATGTGCCTTCAAGTCAACTGGGACTTATGGCGACCTTATCATAGGACCTTATCACACGTGGCCCACAAAGCGATAATAATCCTGAAATGACAAATTCCGAAAAGAACCCGAAAATAAACCTTAATTCAGCAAATGGTTTTCACACGCAATTACCTTCATTGCGCATTTAAGGAAAGTGTTCCCGGGAACCATATTTGCCATTCACACACAAGTGAGAAAATCCCGTACATGAACAAGCAATGATGTTCTTGCACATGCACACTATGCTCACCGCGGCTGTCACTCACCGCGGCTGTCACCCTTTCCCAGGTCGTCCTTGGTGCAGCCGGCCGTCCGCATGGCCGGCGCTCCGAGGAGGACCTCCCACCGCAGCGTTCTCTGAGGAGGTCCTCCTTGGAGCTCCGGCCCTGCATCGGATCGGCGCTCCGAGGAGTTCCCCCTTGGAGAGCCGGCGCTCCGAGGAGGTCCTCCTTGAAGCACCGGCCCTGTGTCGAATCGGCGCTCCGAGGAGGTCCCCTTTGGAGAGCCGATCCAACGCAGGGCCGGCGCTCCAAGGAGGACCTCCTCGGAGAGCCGGCTCTCCAAGGAGGTAATGACGGGGAAATGCTCCCCAATACGTATTTGGTGATACGTATTTGGTGATCATACTTATGGTAAAAGCGAAATTATTCCCATCACGCAATTGCAATTCCTGAAGAAACCGAAATTCAAAAGATCTCGGATCATTCCGCTTTCTGTCGGGGTTCTGTCAGGGTTCTGAGCGACGTCGTGTGGAAACACGGGAAAATAATACGTATTAGGATTTCGTTTGGATTATGTCTGGATTCAGATTTATTTGCTGTTGTCTTCCTCTCAGGCTGAGAATGTAAATTAACCAGTACCACCCAGTGGGTTTCCATAGCTGAGTAAGGATCTAAACCTTGGATTTCCAGAGTCCTAGTCCACCACTAAATACGCTATACCACACTGGCTCAGAGTTTAATGTATAGTTATTTTTCTGACCCCGATAAGAATTCCAGTGTCTCCTACCTTCCAAAAAAATGGACACAAATTTGGTTTCCCCTTAATAGAGGCAATCTATAGATGACCAGGCAAGCTAGTGTGGCATAGAGGTTTGAGTGTTGAACTGAGACTCAGGAGACCAGGGTTCGATTCTCAGCTCAGCCATGAAACCTACAGTATGACCTTGGGCAAGTCACATTCTCCCAGCCTCGGGGGAAAACAATGGCAAATCTCTGAATAAATCTTGCCAAGAAAACCCCATGATAGATTCACCTTAGGGTCGCCATAAGTTGGAAACAACTTTAAGACACACAACAATAAACAAGAGATGATCAGAGCTCAACACTTCTGCTTCATAGCCTTATGGTTTGCTGGAAAATGGCATGACATATGTTTTGGGCACAGAATAGATTAGCACCAAATTTGTGTCCACCAAGCATGGGACAATGCACAAAATGCCAACATTTGTTCGTCTAGTTCTGTATGGGAGTTGCACCAAACATGGATCTGTGGGGTCTAAAATGTCCCGTCCTGGTTAAGTGGAAGGAGGAGAGCTGGGACCTGGGTAAGTCTGGGGTTATGAGGCTCAGAACCTGAATCTATTCCCCAGGGCTTTAAGTATTTGTTTGTACCAAAGTAATGGTGATTGCCAAACGGAGGCCAACTTTCAGCAGCTGAATTACCGTATAACCCCCAGTATTGGCTGTGCTGCCCAGGAGTTGCAAGCGGGTAGGAAAGTGTTTACCCTCCTCTACCAACATCATACCCTTCAGCTGTCCCAATTTAGCAGAAGCAGGCCCAGTTCATAGAATAAAAGAATCACATAGAGTTGGAAGATACCCCCAAAGGCCATCCAGTTCAACCCCCCTGCCATGCAGGAACTCAAAATCAGACCATCCCCGACAGATGGCCATCCAGCCTCTGTTTAAAGACCTCCAAAAGTTAATCCTCTCCCCCTCTACTTTTTCAGATGCGTTTAAATATCCCAGTTTTTCTTTCCTCCTCTCTTTCTCCCTTTAATCTCAATTTACTTCAATTGCTGTAAACTCAAAAGTAGTTTGTACTCAGTTAATTCAGTGGGAGGAGAGGAGGGGCAGAATCTTGCCCTTTCCAGTAAGTAGGCTGAGGCAAAAGCAAACTGCTGCATTCACCTGTCTTTTCTGTTTTTCTTGATTAAAAACTCTTGCCAGCTTGACCACACTCTGACATCCCTTGGCTACATGTTCCCAAATTTCATCCGTGAAATGTCAGAGGTCCTGTCTCCTCCCACCCCAATCCTAAACAGATGATAGGTACAAAAAACAAAGGGTATGACAAAAGATTGAAGGAGTTGGGTATATTCAGCTTGTTGAAGAGAAGACTGAGGGGTGACATGACTTCACTCTTTAAATATTTCAAGGGTTGTCACAGAGGACAGGTCTGCTTCTCTGCCACCTCAAAGAGTAGGACCAGAGGTTTGGTTTGAATTTACAGGAGGGTAGATTTTGATTAGAGTTTAGTGATTTCAGTGTTGGACTAGGACTCTGCTACTCACCTTGAGCAAGTCACAGTCTCTCAGCCTCACAAGATGACAGTGACAAATCCCTTTTGAACAATTCTTGCCAAGAAAACCCCATGATAAGTTCGCTTTAGGGTTCCTGTAAGTCAGAAATGACTTGAAGGCACACAACAACAAAGATTTTGATTGAACACTAGAAGGAACGTTTGGACAGTAAGAGTGGCTCAACAATGGAACCAATTGACTAGAAAGGTGGTGGGATCTCCTGATTTGGACATCATCAATAAGAGGCATGGATACCGGGGATGCTCCAGCTGGAGATCCTGAACTGAGCAAGGGGTTGGACTCCTTATGGCCCATGAGACCACTTCTGGCTCTGTGATTCTATATGATGCTATTATTACCTTTTCTCTCCACTCTGCAAAAAAGATTCTAGCCAAAGCAACACAGGACCAGTCATGCCCTGACCATAAAAATCTCATGTTGTACCCTCAAGGGGCTCTTGGTTAGAAGTATTTAGGGCCAACACTGGGCTTTAAGAGCCCCGGTGGCTTGCAGAACTACTCCAAACAGCACCAGTCAGCTGAATCTAACCAGAATTTTAACTTTTTCACAGTGGCCAGGAGCAATGTTGTGGGAAATTTAAAGGATATTTCACAGAACTCAGAAAGGTGAATGCTTTTAGATGCCAAAGGCCACTCCTTGAGCTCCAGACATTCCTCGGTATTCAGAATTGGAGATCTGCCATTTTATTTCAACTCAGCATGCTTGACACCATTTCAAAAATTTCAAATACTTGAAACTTAAAAATCTACCAGTTCGTATTTTATTCAGCCTGCCATCCTACATCTTGAGAATGAGATTGGCCTGAATTGCATATGCCCAGCTACCATCAAAGAGGGTCAACATGCAGATAAATCCCATTGATTCAATGGGTTTGCTTTACTTTTACTAACAATAAAATTCAGATCCTTTAACTGCAGACCTCCTGGCCATAACAACAAACTACCCTTTTCACACTTTAGCCTGATTCTGGGAAACACAAAAATTTACACACTTTTGTTGCATTTTGATTGGTCACAAAAAGAGTATTATCTCCTCGCTGTGGATTTCACTTATTAAAGACCAATATTTAGACTGTATCCACATTGCAGAAATAATCCAGCTTGACACTGCTTTAACTAGCATGGCTCAGTAGAATGGAACTCTATGGGAAATACTACGGGATTTGAAGTTTTTAGATATTTAGCTTTTTCTGTTAGAGAGCTCTGGTACCACAATAAACTTCATATGCCAGTGAATGTGGAGGGATGAGTGTATTTAGAATTTTCTGCAGAGAATTCTTAGTGCCTTGTTGTTGTTATGTGCCTTCAAGTCATTTCTGACTTATGAGGTGACCCTATAATGCGGTAAGATTTGTTCAGATGAGGTTTGCCATTGCCTTTACCTGAGGCTGAGAGCATGTAACTTGCCCAAAGTCACCCAGTGGGTTTC